GCGTAGCGTAGTTTAGCTTGGCTTAGCTTGGCTTTGCCTAGCCTAGCGTAGCGTAGCATAGCTTAGCTTACCTTAGCTTTGCATAGCTTAGCTTACCTTAGTTTCGATTAGCGCAGCGCAGCATAGCGCAGCGCAGCATTAGCACATCATAGCACAGCATAGCATAGCAAAGCATAGCATATCATACCTCAGCATAGCATAGCACAGCACAGCATAACATAGCATAGCATAGCATAGCGCAACATAGCATAGCATAGCATAGCATAGCATAGCATAGCATAGCATAGCATAGATGCAGGTGTAGATGTAAATGTAGCTGTCGGTGTAGATGTAGATGTTGCTTTCCTAAATGCTCCAACTCCTAGGTAGGGTCGCACTGGGATAATTTGTGTCTACTGATTGTGTGTGTGTCACAGTTTCCCTTCAAACACGAGCATCCACTGAGCTACGACACTGATGTGTGACCCCCGTTCCCCGCTGGAATTCTCGTGCGAACCCTGCAGTTCTCTGTTCGTTCGGAGAAGAGCTTGAGGGTCAGACTGCGGGGAAATTTTCGGTCCAGAGGCCTACCCTTGAACGCCAGGAGGAGGCGGAGGAGGAGGACCTTGTAGAGTCTTGTGTCAATGTGGAGAAACCAAAAGGTACCGATACCGCTACTCCCCCGACCTCTCTTGGTGTGCGTTCTGCCTAGGATTTCGAGGAGAATCCGGCGGTGGCGACGAGGGCTTCCCAGGAGGCCCAAAAATGGGTAAGCCAGGCAAAGGTAGGGGTAGGGGTACCTTTTCCTCCTCCGACAATGGGTGCTCCGACAGGTGAGTGCAGGAGACTGTCTGTCGTCCATCTCCTACCACTCCGGCGGCTACCTCCTGGCAGTTGGCACGCACGTGGGCTCCGTGCTGCTCTTCGACCTCCGCATGCTGGCAGGGCGCTCGGCTCCCACCCCCGAACTCTCGAGGGTTCGAGGAGGAGGAGGACGACGACGAGGACGAGGAGGAGTGGGAGCGTTGGACAAATTCACGCGCTGGCGCGCCGCTCTGCGCACAAGACCAGGTGGAAGCACCCAAGAGGCAAGGGGGGTTGTTCTCAAGGCTGGCGGGAGGCATGCCTGCCGAGCCTTCGTGTAATTCGGGAGCCGCGAATGTTGTGTTATGTGTTCTATCCTTGAGCGACGCATCGAGCACAGCGCAGGCAAAACAAAAACAGCCAGAGGAGGAGGCGGACGAAGAGAGGAGGCGGTCGTCGCACAGTCATTCGGGCATAAAGGAAGCACCACGATGACCTCCACCATCGCGCTGCGGGTCACGCGAAAAAAAAACGCCTGCGCCAGAAATGCCGCTTGCCACCCAACGCCAACGCATCCAAAGCACGATAATTGCCGAATTCCCCTGGACAGCTGAATGGCTTGCCATCTGGCCAACTGGCCCCGCAAGGGTGTCCGCGGTTCGGTCGGTTCGGTTGCTTCGCAGTCAATCGCATTCGGTCGGTTCGGTTCGGTCGGCTGTCGTATCGTTATTGCGTCTTTGTGTCGCGTCCTTCTCGGCTCTGTTCGCTTCATTCTGTTCAGGTCGGTTTCAGCTTCGCTGTCATTTCGGTTGGATTTCGGTTGTACTATCGCCGCGGGCGGCCCTGCCCAGAGGATCGACGGAGGACGATCGGCATCCTCGGGCGCCGCCGGTGTTGGCTCTGCCTGCCGTGCAACGGCAAGACGGACGCGGCAGCGGCGGCGACCGCCAAGCGGGTACATCAGGGCAGCGGGTGCCCGCAGGGCAGCCGAATCCATTTCGAACCCATCTGGGCCCGAACCCATTCGCGGTCCCAGTTGGGCCCGATCACGTGTGCGAGCAAGTGATTGGCAGAATCTTTTCGCGAACCCATTCGGGCCCGAACCCACTCGGGGAAGAATGCATTTGCGAATCCATCTGGGGAAGAACCCATTTGCGAACCCATTTCCGAGCTGGCCAGGCGTTGACGTGGGAATGGGGGGGGCAAAGTTCGAGCTGGATGCCCCTGATGATGGTGGTGGTGACGCGGTGATGATGGCGACGGTGATGATAGTGATGTTGATGATGTCGATGTCGATGATGATGATGATGATGATGATGATGATGATGATGATGATGATGATGATGATGATGATGATGATGATGATGATGATGTCGATGATGATGATGATGATGATGATGATGATGATGATGATGATGATGATGATGATGATGATGATGATGCTTATGATGATGGTGCTGATGATGATGATGATGGTGATGCTGATGATGGTGATGTGTTGGTGGTGGTGGTGGTGTTGTTGCTGCTGATGGTGAGTATGATGATGCTGCTGATGCTGATGATGATGGTGGTGATGGTGATGGTGATGGTGAAGGTGTTGGTGGTGATGATGTTGCTGCTGCTGGTGATGATGGTGCTGTTGCTGATGCTGATGCTGATGATGCTGATGCTGATGCTGTTGACGACGATGCCGATGATGATGATGCTGATGATGATGACGACGATGATGGTGATGCTGATACTGCTGATGCTGGTCAAGATGGTGGTGGTGGTGATGGTGATGGTGATGGTGATGGTGATGGTGGTGATGATGTTGATGATGTTGATGTTGGTGTTGATGATGTTGATGGTTATGGTGGTGGTGTTGAGGACTATGATGGTGGTGTTGGTGATGATGAGGATGGTGACGACGACGATGACGATGACGATGATACTGATGGTGATCATGATGGTGATGATGGTGCTGGTGGTGGTGATGATGCTTTGATGATGGATGATGATGAGGAGGAGGAGGAAGAGGAGGAGGAGCAGAAAAAGGAGGAGGATTATGGGGAGGAGGAGGAGGATGCGGTAGAAAAAAGACTGTGCAGTGCTGCATGGTTGGCGATCTGTATCTAGTTCCTGCTAGTTGCGGGGACGGGGAAATCTTTGGGCTTACATGCCATCCACGTTGCGGGGTCTTCTCGCGAAAGGTCCAGATTTGTGTGCCGACATGTCTGGCGGCCGCCGCTAGGTCTTGGCCATGCAGTCGTGGCTTTATTACAAGAATATGTTGTCGTCGCCACAGGGGCGCGGACATAGCGTCCCAGCCTGGGTGCAGGGGGTTCTTGTCGCCGCGACAGGGTTCTCGCTACAAAGTATCGGCCATTATTCTGGGCACTCGCGCTGACATCAGTTGAGAAAAGATCGTATTCCACATTTGTATCCATTGGGCCCGTGTGCCATTGCAAGAAAGCGCCACCACCATTGGGACCAATCCTCTTGTGCTTGCAGCACCAGAGTCCAATCCACATGTCGAAGCACTGGGATGCTCACCTGAAGGTCGCCCTCGAGACAAACGCGCTTGGCGCTTTTGAAAGATATATGTTGGAGATATGGTTGGACCTGCAGAGCGCTACTGGAATATATGTTGAAATTACACTGCCGAGCCAAGGAAGACAACTGTGAACCACTTAGACCGAGTCGCAAAGTCTGTGGCCAGCCGCACTTGAGGACTTGAAGCGGGGGAGGGGGAGAGGAGAAAGGGAGGGAGAGGTCAAAAAGGAAAGGCGGAGAGTGCGAGAAGGGGGGAAGTGGGGGAGGGGCAGCGATGGCGGCAAGCATTGGGAGAGAAGGTAAAGTGGCTCCAACCTGTCCTGGGCATACCCGTCGCATTCGCCAAGCAGTCGAGCTGAGGGGAGTCTCCGTCACGTTGAACTTTCACTTCTGGAGAGTAGCCATCATTCTGCTAATCCCTCCCTCCATGCCCATCGGTTGTTCTTTACCGACGTTCGCACATTGCTTTGGTCGCGGGATACCCTCCTGCTCAGATTGCGCCCCTGCCCCCCAGATTGCAACAAAGGCTCTTGTTCGAGGTGTCCTCAGCATTTGCTCAACAAAGCATGAATCCCTCAAATCTTGATCAGACATCGCGCTATCGCCTAAGGCTGACTCGATTCATTCCTGACTCGCGCGCCGGCCGCTCAGGAACCGCGCCTTCGCATGAGGCCTCCTCACGTCTCTGTTCTGGAACCGCATCCTCGCCCGCCGTTTCCTTTGCACGCATACAGTCGGGGTTCTGAATAAGGAAACCTTTTCGTTGGGGAGGGGCTCTGTGTTCTTTGATTGTTTCACAGCTTGCTTTAGGTATTCCTTAGGTTTTCTATGGGAAATCGAAATTCAACTGATGGGAAAGAGGCGCCTCGTTCCTTATTTTGGGTTCCTTAGGTCAACGTCCCGACCGTACTCCGGAATTGTGCTCTTGCAGCTCAGGAAGCTCGCTGTCGTGTGGGATCTTCGTCACTGCATGCCGAGGAGTCGCCTCGGCGCAGGCTGCCTCGGACCCCCCCCCCCAGCCGGGAGGCTGCCACGCTTCCTGCGCTCGCCCCCCCCTCGCCCGCCCCGTCCCCCTCGGCGCCCCCTCCCCTCTCCCGCCGTCCCTCCCCCGAATCCCCCTCCTGCTCCCCGCTCGGCCTCCTCCCCCTCGTCCCTCATGTGGTCCCCTCTCTTCCCCTCGATCTCGTCCCCCGCTCGCGCTCCTCCTCCTCCTCCTCCTCCTCCTCCTCCTCCTCCTCCTCCTCCTCCTCCTCCTCCTCCTCCTCCTCCTCCTCCTCCTCCTCCGCTCCTACTCCCCACGCGCTACTCCTCCTCGCTCGTCTTCCCCTGGTCATTCGCTCATGCTACGGTCAATCCGCATAGTCACGATGAGCAACTTGCCAAGGATACCCTTGCATCCTTGCCCCTTCGGCCCATCCATAGCGACGTTCGCTGGCCAGCCTCGTTCGAAAAAACGTTAACGTGGCCCTCCAAGGCCCTTACATCCTTACCGCGCATCCTCGTCGTTGTACGGGTTGACTCTACTCCCGAGGCTCTCCCTGGTCGCCCTTTTGCCCACAGCAGCTCGGCCGAGGTGTCCGCGTCCAGGGAGCAGCCGGCCCTGCCCGTTGGCAGCCTCTCGCTGCAACAAGCGGACGGCCCCGGGCCCAGAGGCGCCGTTTGTTCGGCCCGCCGTGTTGCCATGGCGCAGCAGCAGAGAGCGGCAGCAGCAGCAGCAGCAGCAGCAGCAGCAGCAGCAGCAGCATACCATCGCAGGCGACCTTTCCCCCCCAATCCCCGCGATCTGCCCGAAGAGTTTGGCCCCTCAGAAAAAAAAAGTGAAACGCTGGGATACACCCCGAGGAGGCTATTCGGACGCACCCCCCTATCAAGGATGGACGTCCCCCCCAGCGTATGTCCCAGGGCCAGGCTCCAGATGATTGCTCCAGTCGAAGAACTCCCAACGCCTGGGACATGGGTCGACATATCCCCTGCCAGAGGCAGCAGCAGCATACTCCAGATTTCGTAATAAAGGGAGGGGGGTCTCATTTCGGGGGGGGTCTCTTCCAGGCTATCTTGGAGGGCCTGGGGGGTCTGGGGACGATGTTCTGGAGGGTTCTCCCACGGGGGAGGTCTGAAATGGCTTGTCTTGGAGGGTCCAGACCCCCTCCCTTTTATTACGACATCTGGAGTACCAAGTTTTTGTTTCTCATGTTGGAGCAGGCAGAAGTAGCTGATGACCCACCGGGAAGGCCGATGATGCTGCTGCCGACGCTTCCGCTGCTGCTGCTGCTGCTGTTGCTGCTGCTGTTGCTGCCGCGCCTTCGCAGCGTGGCGCGCCTTCGTGTCGGTTCAGGGGCCCCTTGGAGGCCCCCAAGAGGCCCCAGGGCCACAGGACACGTCCAAGAGGCTTCCTCCTCCTCCTCCTCCTCCTCCTCCTCCTCCTCCTCCTCCTCCTCCTCCTCCTCCTCCTCCCTCTCCTCATCCCTCTCCTCCTCCTCCTCCTCCTCCTCCTCCTTCTCCTGCTCATGGTGCGTCCAAGAGAACCCATGCTGCCGAATGATCACCGGGGGCTCCACGGGACGACACCAGAGTCCAGAAGGGGAGGCCCAAACGAATCATCCGACCGTCCCGCATGTCAAAAGACACTGGCATGAAGCACACACACACACACACTGCCATCAACAAGCATTGGCCAAGGTAGGGCGTGTGGTTCAGAGTCGCGGTTTGGCCAGTAGCTCGAGACCGAAGTGCAATGTGGTGATCGTCGCCGTCAGGTGGCAAGGACGAACTATGTTCATGTATTCACGGGGCAGTGGTGGCCATTCAGAGTTGGCGCGTCGATGATTGAGAATATTGAATGCGCCTTGGGCTTGGGAGTCGCTCGGGTGGCTGATGCCCTCCCAAAAATACAGAGGACCTTCGTGGGTATCGATTCGCACGTCGCCAATAAAAGTAAGCCACACTCGTTTTTTGTCCACTATGGGAGCTGTTGGTGGTTTCGCTAGGTGGAGGGTTGTGGAAAGGTAAGCGATGGGACGATTGAGCTGGTAGCACGGAGAGTCTTTAATCATATCGACGAGGAACTATAGATATTTGCCAGTTGGGGCTGCTCAAAGTTCGGCGAGACTCGACAAAGGCAAGCCGTCTTGGATGCAGGCTGTATAATTACTGGGAAACAGCTCCACTCATTCAACCAGTAATCATTTAGTCGTTAATTCCTCTGCAACAGCGATCTCGTATGATTACTGCGAGGCCTAGGAGGTATCTAGTCTGCGGGACCGAGCGGACAGGGTCATATCCCCTGTGCTTGTTTTCTCGAGGTATGCTTGTGGCGCTCGGGGGCAGCAGCACAAGGAGGATCAGCAGCAGCAGGAACTGGAGCAGCTCCAGGCAGAAGAGGGGGTGGGGGCAGGAGAGGGAACAGAGGAGGAGGGCCAAGAGATGTCGCCTGTCGACGTCGAAATGGCCGACATGAGCTCGAGGAGGCGCCAGGGGTCCTGAGCCCTCCCACATCCTGCAGAACTCGGGACGGCCAGTTGTTGCACAGAAGTTTGGCCCGTGTCGGGCCCCTCCGCGGCTTACACAAAAATGGTTCGCAGCGCGAGATCTACACGGATGTTGAGGCCGAGGGCTACGCAGCCCCGCGCACTAAACATCGGGGCGTCCGAGGTCTGGGGGGGCACAGCCCTGGAGGGTCGTTGGTCTCTCGTGCCCTCGTGCTTTCGCATGTTGTTGCTTTTCACGACGGGGCGAGCAGGGCGAGGAGGAGGCTCCTTGCCGTGGATCTCGACCCCATCGATCCTCGATCCCCTCGAGGGCGAGGGCGAGCGAGGAGGAGGAGCATGCCGCGCGCCACCGAGCGCCCCGCACACCTCCGCAGACGCCAGCGACGGGGCACGGGGTGCAGCCCGCGCGAGCACGCCCGCCTTGGGCCGGTTTCGGCCGGACTCGGAGCGGCTCGCGGGAGCTCCAGTCGGAGGCGACGAGAGGGGCGAATAGCCCAGGGGGGAGCAATGCATGTGCTCAGGTGCGCCGATGATCTGTGTCTTCGAAGAGGCTCTCGGGCGAATAGGTGTAATGCCCGCCCCGGGGCTATTCGCCCCTGTCGTCGCCGCCGATCCAGGGAGGAGAAGCCACCCAGACCTGACAACTGGCGTTTGCCCAACTCACTGGCCTACACAAGTCATGGTAATGAATGAACGCGTGTTCGTAAAACAAAGTATTGGAAAAACTATGATTCACTAAAGCGAGAAACAGATGTATTGAACTGCGCCGCAGAATCAAAGCAAGACAACACATCCTTTAGTATACGCAAAAACTGGTGTACTAAATTCAAAAACGGATGTTCTAAATCCAGGGCCGTTTTTTGTATCACCGATCCGATCGTTACCACGACCTGAGCGGCTTGATCATAAACGGCCTTGGGCATTTACTAGACAGCCCTGCCCTGTGCGATTCCTTCTTTGAGCGCGTTTACTAAACGGCTTCGCTCGTCGTGGTGGTTATTATTGGGATGGATGTTCTGCCCTCTAGGGAGGGATGAGGGGACACAAGAGCGCACGGAGACACAAGGAGCCGGCGACCCCCAGGAAAGGATGGAGAGACATGCCGAGTTTTGGGGGGGAGACGACGAGCCTCCAGGAGACCTCTGAGGGATCCTGGGAATTGTGCGCCCTCTGCTGGTGCGTCCCTGGGCCTCGTCAGGGACAGGAGCACCGGCGGCGAAGGAGGAGAAGGAGGAGGAGGGGGAGGAGGAGGAGGAAGAGGAGGAGAGGAGGAGGAGAGGAGGAGGACGAGGAGGAGGAGGAGACGACGACGACGAGGAGGAGGAGGGAGGAGGAGGAGGACGAGTTGGAGGAGGAGGGAGGAGGAGGGAGGAGGAAGAGGAGGAGGAGAAGGAGAGGGCGGAGGAGGAGGAGGAGGAGGAGGAGGAGGAGAGGAGGGAGGAGGAGGAGGAGGAGGAGGGAGGAGGAGGAGGAGGAGGAAGGAGAGAGGAGGAGGAGGAGGAGGAGGAGGACGAGGAGGAGGAGGAGGAGGAGGCAGCGGCGGCAGGGCGGGCCGCCTCGGGAGGCTCCCTCCACGGGCCTCTCCGGCCGCCCGCGGGGCCTCCCATCCGGGCCTCCTCCGGAGCCACCGGGGGCCCCCAAAACGGTGCGGTGACCACGCCGTGCGGCGATCGGTCGGGGGTGGACAGAACCCTTTCCTGACACGTCGATTAGTGAATTGTCCATTTTCGGTTCTCGAGAGGGTGCCGCGGCCGTTTTTTTTCCAGGCTTGCGCCCGCCAGGTTTGGGCCCGAGGTCGTTTTCACTAAACCACGTGGCCCCCAGACGGCGTGGTGGCCACACCGTGCGGTGGTCACCTGGTCGGGAGCGGCTGAGACCAGCACAAGGGGCTGCCTCCACAGGGGGAAGACGACCCTAAATTCCGGTGTTAGTGGCAGTGCTTCGGCCACCCAGGAGGCCAGGATGTCACCACCATCGCCGAGGTCGGCATCTTCTGCCCTCGGTGGAGGCACACGGTCGATATCGGTGTTGGTGTCAACCTCCTATCGGGAGCGGCCGAGAGGGGGGTGTCCAAGAGGGGAGGGTGCAACTCATGGCTGGCGGCACGTGCGCGGCCCAGGGGGGGGGGCCAGGGACGTGATAAAATAAGAAGAGGCGCCATGAAAGCTGGCGAGACATCATGGCCCACGCCATGATCCACCCCATCCTAGTCATCACCCCCCTCTTTGCCGCCCCCGAGGTGAGTCGGTGGGGATTCGGGGTCGCCTCACGGTTTTGGGACTCGAGTCCCTCTCCGAGGACGTCTCGGGCGACAGGGGCCTCCGAGGTCCCAAGACCGTGCGGTGACGGACCGTGCGGTGAGGTCTTCTGGGGGTTCCGAGGTCACCGCAGGGTCTGTCACCGCACCGTTTCGGGACTCCAAAAAGCCACAAGGGGGCCTCTCCCGAAGAGGACCAACGCGGCATACGCATAAACTTTTTGGCGCTCCGCGCGGGCTTCTTGGATCCGCGCTGGGCCCCCTCCGGCGACACCCCCGGCGGCGCCCTTGGCGCTGGGGGCGCGCCAGGGAGGGGGGTCCAACGCGGATCTAAGAAATCCGCGCGGAGCGCCAAACGTTTATGGTTATGGCACAGCTCGGGTTGACCCAAAAGGGGGTCCAGCGACAAGGGGGTGATGCAATAGATTTGGTGCAATAGATGTGTGGAGTTGCAATACATTTGGGGCGTGCAGTACATCCCGGGGCGCAGACGTATTGCCCGGCTCTCGCAAGAAAGCACGTCAGTGGTAATACAATGCAGCGCACATCCCCGGCGCAAGACATTTGCTATACAGCTGCCCCCCACACCTATTGCACCACCCTCTTTTAGCTGGACCCCCTTTTGGGTCAGCCAGCACAGCACCGAGCAGCGGCAGCCCACCCGCCACCCGCCTCCGACAGGCGGCCCCGTCCGCGCCATGGCCTTCGTGCCGCCGCCGACCGGCGGCGGGATCGCCAGCCCGCCGAGCAGCCCAGGGCCCTCCGAGGCGCGGGCCCCCGAGCCGTGGGGCGTTGCGTCCAGGTGTGCCCCCCCGTGTCCAGGCCTCCCTCGCCCTCTCTCCCTCTCTCTCTCTCTCTCTCCTCCCCCTCCTCCTCCTCTTCCTCCTCCTCCTCCTCTCCCTCCTCCTCCTCCTCCTCCTCTCTTCCTCCTCCTCCTCCTCTCTTCCCTCCCCCTCCTCCTCCCCTCACACCTCCTCCTCCTCCCCTCCTCCTCCTCTCCTCCTCCTCCTCCTTCTCCTCCTCCTCCTCCTCCTCCTCCTCCTCCTCCTCCTCTCCTCCTCCTCCCTCCTCCTCCTCCCCTCCTCATCATCATCCTCATCCTCATCCTCATCCTCATCCTCCGCCCTTTCTCTCTCCTCCTCCTCCTTTCTCCTCCTCCTCCTCCTCCTCCTCCTCCTCCTCCTCCTCCTCCTCCGCCTCGCCTCCGCCTCCTCCTCCCCCTCCTCCTCCTCCTCCTCCTCCCCCCCCCTCATCCTCCTCCTCCTCCTCCTCCTTCTCCTCCTCCTCCTCCTCGGTCATCCCCCACCTCCCTCGCCCTCTCTCTCCCCTTCCCACACCCCTTCCTCCCTCGGCCCTCCCCCATGGGAGAAGCGAGGGGGGAGCTCCCTTGGGGAAGGGCGGGTGGCTTCTCCCGTTCTTCCCACAACGGGGGAGCCGAGGGAGGGGAGCAGTCGTTCGTCCTTGAGAAAAGCTCGCTCTGGAGCCCAGGCCTCCCAGATGGGGTCTGAGTAGATGGGAAGAGGATCGCGCCGCCGCATCGCTGATGCATCGCCGACGCGGCTCGATGTGGAGCCCGACTTCCTCCACGGCGACAGCGCCGAAGTATCGCCGATGCATCGCCGATGCGTCGCTGATGCATATCCGATGTATCGCCCATGCATCAGTGATGCGGCGCGGTCCTTCGACACCATCTACTCGGACCCCATCTACTCTAGAGAGTTCCTCCCTTTCTCCTTGGGGGCGGGGCCAGCGGCAAATGTGCATCGGTGCTGCCGTGGCCCTTGCGAGCACGTGGCGCTTCGCAGTGCCACGGACGGCGAGGCCAGTGCACCCCCCGCCAGTGGCGAAGGCGGAGCCTCAACCCCACCAGGCACAGCCAAGGCGTTGAAACAAGAAACACTTCAGGCTCAGGATGGTCGTCGTTTTCTTATTCATCGTTTTGCCGATCGGCGCGGGCCCTCGCAACCCCCCCCAACCCGCGTGGAGTGGATCGTGGCTGTTTTGGGCGCCTGTTTCGAGCAGGTGGAGCCCCCCCACACACACACAATGGACGCACCGCTGCAACCAGTCGCATTCAGCAGAGGTCCGGAGCCAGACGCCCCCTCCCCCCCTTCCCTTCCGCCCACTGTCGAAACGCCGCATGTGAAAACGCTGGCATGCGGCTGCGGTATTCGGGCCCTGTGCCTCGGATCTGGGTCGGGAAGCCTACTCGACGCCGAGGCCTGCCGTTGCCAGGAAGAGTCCCCTCGTCGTTCCGGAGTCCCGCTGGTCCGCCAGGACCCGATTCCCCCGCCCCCGCCCCCCGTGCTCCCATGCCCGCCCCGCCCGACCCCGATCGACCCTCCGACCGATCCGCCCCCTTGTCCTTCCAGGACCCGCTTCCCCTCCCCCTCCCATGCTTGACGAGCCAACAACACACACCCATACCCATGGAGGGGTCGGCGAGAGCTACGGGTGCGTGCCGTCGGAGGGGGGTCCCCGCTCGAACGGGAGCGTTCCCCAGGGTCCGACCACCCGCACCCGTACCCATAGCCAGTCCTCCCTCCTCCTCCTCCCTCCTCCTCCTCCCTCCTCCTCCTCCTCCTCCTCCTCCTCCTCCTCCTCCTCCTCCTCCCAACGACCCAGGACCCGCTTTCCCCTCCCCCCATGCTCCCATTCCCGCCCACGCCCGACCCCTGGCGACCAGCCGGCCCCCTCCGGCCCCGGACACCGGCCGCCCGCCGCCTTCCCCGCGCTCGCCTTCTCCCAGAGTCCAGACGGCGCATTTTGTCGCTCACCGCGTGGGGACCCCTGGAGGTGCCGACCCCTTTCCCAGGGCCAGCTTTTGACACCCCGCCGTCCCGAGATCCAGAATACAAATAGTAGTCATATTGACAGTTTCGGTATGATCCATGGTAGTTAGTAGTGGTAATACGAATAGTGATGTTAGTAGTAATAATAATAATAATAATACGAATACGAATAATAATAACAGTAGTAGTAGTAGTAGTAGTAGTAGTAGTAGTAGTAGTAGCAGCAGTAGTAGTAGTAGTAGTAGCAGTAGTAGCAGTAGTAGCAGTAGTAGCAGTAGTAGCAGTAGTAGCAGTAGTAGCAGTAGTAGTAGTAGTAGTAGTAGTAGTAGTAGTAGTAGTAGTAGTAGTAGTAGTAGTAGTAGTAGTAGTAGTAGTAGTGGTAGTAGTCGTCATCGTCGTCTTCGTAGTAGTAGTGATAACGATAATAATAAGGATAAGGATCATGGCAATATTAGTGACGATAATAATCGCAGAACTAGTATGCGTAGCAGAGAGAAGGTTAGTGATACTAGCAAGATTACAAGCACGCATACAATTATGTTCCCGAGTTCAATACTAATATCAATAATGATGAAGACAATGATGGTGATCATCGTACGACTGTTAAGTATAGTCCTAATGGCAAAATAAACTTATATTCTGATGCCGAATAGTAATAGTTAATGCAACAAGAATATGTCAATAATGTTAGCAAGAATAATAACAGTAATGATGGTAGTAACAGTTACATCATGAGCCATCAAAGGAATGGCAATACGTTCACGTATGTGCATACTGTTCAAAAAAGTGTCAGAGTAACAGTACGAGACATCATGTTGATGCTCATGAGGATTACATTAAGAACACTCATACATAAATTGTTTCTCTTGTGATTATTTCACGACGCGGGGAGGTTTAGGTTAATCTTCCCTTCCCGATTCGCATCCAGATCTCGGCGACCAGCGAGCAGAGGAAGTGAGAAAGAGGAGGCCTTCTCAGAATGCGGCAACCCTCCACCCTTCGGAGAAGCTTTCTGTGTCTTCGGGGAAGGCTTAGAGCATGTCTCAGCTGGCCCGAGAACTTTCGAGCCTTCTGAGAAGGCCCTCCCCCTCTTGGACGCCTGGCGGTCGTTAGGCCATAAGTCGGCTCTCTGGCGGCCGTTCGGGACGATCCGGGCACCCCCAGCTCGCTCTCGGCGCAGCTGCCACAATGCACCCGGAGGCTGGAAAACGGCCGAGGACAGACGAAAACGTCCGAAGACTTCGAACCTCGAACTTCTCAATTCCACCTCGGACTGGCCGCTGGCAGATCTCTGGAGAAAGAATGCACACACAGACACAACTAATCGGCGACTCCCAGGGAATTATAGGGATATATGGGAAGTGGCGGGGAAGAAAAAACCAGACGATGTAGGGAAATACTGGAAATCCTTGGATTTGTGTCTATTTACTTGGTGTGCTTGGGCCCTCTGGCGCTCTGGCGTCGCGTCGCGCTCCGCCGCGCGCAGCGCCGGCCGCGAGGCCGTCGGAGCGGGCTCGCCCGCCAGCGCCGTGGATGCGGCCGGGGCGGTGGCGGCAGGCATCACCGAGACGGCGAAGGAGAAAGACGCAGGAGATCGAGGAGGAGTGAGAGGAGGAGGAGGAGGAGGAGGAGGAGGAGGAGGAGGAGGAGGAGGAGGAGGAGGAGGAAGGGAGGAGGAGAGGGAGGAGGAGAGGGAGGAGGAGAGGGAGGAGGAGAGGGAGGAGGAGAGGGAGGAGGAGAGGGAGGAGAGGGAGGAGGAGGAGAGGGAGGAGGAGGAGGAGGAGGAGGAGGAGTGAGAAGGAGGAGGAGGAGGAGGAGTGAGAGAGGAGGAGGAGTGAGAGAGGAGGAGGAGTGAGAGAGGAGCGCGCGGGCGACTGCCTTCTGCATTGTTCCTGCTACTAGCCACGGAGTCCCAGGTGCGCTCGGTCTGACGGCCTTGGCCTGCAGCCCCCTCCCCTCTGAGAGTGTCGGGCTGGGCGAAAGGGGGGGATTGGGAAAGGCGGGGTTACGAAATCTGCTGCATGCAACTGGTTTCGGCCTCGCCGAGGGGCCCATTCCTCGATACATGGCCGCCTCCCGGAGCCGGGAGGCGCCGGGAAAATCAGCTACGTGAGCTGATTCTCGAACCTCCCCCTTTGCTATCCCCCCCTTCCGCCCGACCCGAGAGTGGCCGGCGTCTCCTTGGCAGTCAGCCACGCTTAAGGGGGAGCCGCCCCGCTCCCGGGGGCGGCGGAGGTGTGCGCCGTCCCCCGGTCACTGTGCGCCCGCCGCGGGGGGGCCCCGCGCGCGCCGCCGGAACGAGGAGGAGGAGGAGGAGGAGGAGGAGGAGGAGGAGGAGAAGTGAGGGAGGAGTGAGGCAGGAGGAGGAGGACGAGGAGGAGGCGAAGAGGACGAGGGAGAGGAAGACGAGGAGGAGGGTGAGGAGTGGCAGAGGAGGAGGAGTGAGGGAGGGAGGAGTTTTCATGGCAGTGGTCGTCACGTGTTGCTCCGGCGGCCTTGGGCGGTTGTCATGCCGGATGGTGCGTTTCGAGTGGTGGTGGTGGTGGTGGTGGTGGTGGTGGTGGTGGTGGTGGTGGTGGTGGTGGTGGTGGTGGTGGTTGTGGTGGTGGTGGGGCGCGTTCCATCAATCGGGCCTGTCGAGGGGCATGCGAAGGCCCAGGTCGTTTCGAACGGCCGCCAGCTGCCGGAGTTCTGGCCCGAAAGCCGTCCAGCCCTGATATCCTCGCGGCCTCCGGTCTGTCTGGGTTTCCTCTGCCTCGGTTTGGCTTCTCCTGAGGCGCGAGGGGTCCAGGTTGTCCTGGCGTGGGGTCCAAGCCGACTTGGGTACGGTAGGTTCGCGTCGTGTCGACCGGCGGCGACCCCGCCGCCGACGTTCAATTTTGAACGCCGCCGGCGACCCAGAATCGGTCGATGTGGAACGATCGGACGTTGCGGAGACGGTCGATCGTTCAAGGTTGAGCGATCCAGCGCGGCGTCGGGAACCAACGCCGGGGTCGACACGACAGGAACCTGCAGTACTCACCGAAGTGTGACCATCGCATAAGTGTTTGGTCGCCAGCGTCGGGGGACGTTCATGATCGTCTGGATGCGCGTCTGGTTTGGCCAGGATGTGCCTGATTGCTCCAGGGAGCCCAGAGGGTCTTCTGGGTTTGGGGGTGACTTTGCCTCAAGATTTGAAGAAGTCATCTGATCTCTGCCCCACTGCTGGCCCCCCCGACGTAGCTCGCATTTCTTATTCAAGAGGCTCACGCCATTCCGCCGACTCCCGGAAGAGGCGGGGAGTCCACGGTTGAGGCGTCGTGGGCTTTTGGGGGCAGTGTTTGGAGACTCTTGTGAGCGTCTTGGGAGCTGTTTGGGGCCTGGTGGACAGTTTTGAAGCGTCTTGCGGACAGTTTGGGGCCCTCTTTTTTAGCTCTTGGGGTCCCTTTGGGACTTTCGGGGGCCTCGTTTGAACCGCTTGGGGGTTTCTTGAGGCCTCTTGGCGGCCTCTTGGGGCGGAAAGATAGGAGTTTCGGTTCGTGTTCTCCCTGTCGGCCTCTCTTGGAGCCCTCTTCGGGCGATCTTTGGCCGTCTTGAGCCCCTCTTCGGGCCGTCTTGGAATCCTCGTGGGTCGTCCTGGGGCCCTCGTAGGGGGCTTTTGGGCAGTTGTGGGGCGGTCTGAGGGGCCTCCTGTCGGAAGCTCGAGAAGACGATAACCCCAGAAACAATGCAAAAGAATGGAAAACCATTGAGGGTTGCCTCTTGTGGCCCTCTTGGGAAAGCTCTCGGGACTCTCTTTGGGCGTCTCGAGGGCGTCTTTAGGCGACTTCGAGCCATCATAGGCGACTTGGACCAATCGCTCGGCGGTTCGGGACTGTCTTGAAACGCTTAAACAAGATGTTTGACCTTGGGGGAAGTGGAGAGGGGGAGGGGGACAGCCCTTTGTGGGCCCCGGAAACGGCAAGGCCCTTTTTTCCACCGTTTCCAAAAAAATATCCCTTGAAAATGGAAACGGCAAAAAAACGGCGACCGGAAACGGCAAAGAAACGGCTCCAGGATTGGAACCGGAGCCAGAACCGGTCAAAAAACGGCGAGGGAACCGGTAAAAAAACGGCGTCGGAACCGGCAAAAAAAACGGCAAAGCGGAACCGGTAAAAAAACGGCCCGTGTGTCGTTTCCAGGGCCCACTAAGGGACAGCCTATCATCCTGCACGCCATGTCACCCCCGGCAAGGCGGGGGTCGGCGAATTTGCCCGATTGGACCTCGCAAGAAACGTTCAGCTCCCCACGACATGTTGTCCGCCACTCCGTGCACCACGCAAGGCGGAGGGCGCTGCGTTGCATGGCAGGACGTGTGGCCCTTGGCACGACTTCTGTTGGTAAGGTTTTGTCGAGCAGGGCCAGGATGGTACCAGTTCCAGGAGATCGGCTCCCGAACAGCGACGTGAGGGAGCGTGATGCGTGCGCAAAGCTCGCCGAGAAGTCTCCGACCAGGATCCAAACCTGCAGGAAGGGCCACATCTAACTGGCAGACAGAGTCCAGCTGTGGCCGCCAGAGAAATACAACAGTCGAGTCTGATTAGTAGGTCAACCCTGCCAAATCAAGGGTACTCTCGTGTCTTGTGTGTCGCGACCCATGCACTTTACATTCGAGAGAGCGCGTTCTGTGGGCGCTTAGAGGGAGGAGGTGTTTGGAACCGGACCCCCCCCCCCCGGGATTGATGGGGGGGGGTTCGAACCCCCCCCTCATCCCACCCCCCCTCTCCCGTGATGGCGGGGGGGTTCGAACCCCCCCGCCGCCTCCCTCCTCCCCTACTTCTCCTCTCTCCCTCTCCTCGGGCCGGCGCTGACGTCGGCTGGCGGCGCCGGCGCCGGCGTCTTTGGGGCCTCTCTGAGGTGGTGGTGGTGGTGGTGGGTTGTGGTTGGTGGTGGTGTGTGGTGGTGGTTGTGTGGTGGTGGCGGCGGCGGTGGTGGTGGTGTGGTGGTGGTGGTAGTTGTGATGGTGGGTTGTGGTGCTGGTGGTGTTGTTGGCTGTGGTGGTGTGGTGGTTTGTCGGTGTGATTTGTGGTGGTGGTAGTGGTTGTAGCGCGATGAGGGTTGTGGTGGGGTGGTGGTGGCGGTGGTGGTGGTGGTGATTTTGTTGTGGTGGTGGTTGTGGTGGTGGGTGGTGGTGAAGGTACTGGTGGTGGTGATGGTGGTGGTGTGGTGGTTTGGTGGTGGTGGTGGTTTGTGGTGGTGGTGGTGGCGGTGGTGGTGGTGGTTATGGTGTGGTGGTGAAAGTGGTGATGATGGTGAGTTGTGGTGGTGGCAGGTTGTGGTGGTGGAGGTGGTGGTTGTGGCCATGGTGGTGGTGGTGTTGTGGTTTGTGGTGGTGGTGGTGATGGGACGGTTGTGGTGGTGGTGTGTGGTGGTGGTATTGATGTAGTGATTTGTTGTGGTGCTGGTGGTGGGTTGTGGTGGTGATTGTGGTGGCGGTGGTGATGGCGGTGGTGGTGGTGGAGGTGTGGTGGAACGTGGTGGAGGCTGTAGTGGTGGTGGGTTGTTGTGGTGGTGGTGGTGGTGGTCTGGCTCGAAACGCGCCGCCGAATGTTCCCAGGGCGAGCGCCCGTGAAACGCGTCGTTCTCCCTTACATTCCTATGGCAGTTTGGCCCTCCCTTCGGGAGGGTCTTGTGTCCTCTCGCGTGTCCGCTCCAAGCAGACTCGACTGTACAGTGCCGTTTTTCATACATGCTCCGCGTGCGGATCATGTATTAAAATGCAGGGATCTGGTATAAACAACGATAAGCCCATGCATACGTTGATTCATAGATTAATCATGTATTAAAATCCTATGTTGAAAAAATATCCTATGGATTAAAATCTGCCCTGTATGGGACGGCCTGCACAAGCCAAGAGGTCAGGCAGGCAGGCGGAGGTGCAAGCGCCACCGACACGGCCCAGGGCTCGCGCGCCTGTTCGGGGGGGGGGCCACCGCGCGCGGCGGGCGCCCTCCCGGAGGGCTCCCGGCGAGGCGGAGATGGGCGTCGCGTGGTGGGGGGGCGATAATGGGGGAAACGCTCGGCATCGCTCGGACGTGTGCATTTTTCCTTCGGCGAGGGCCATCGAGGAACATCCTTGACCCTTGACCATTTGGCGAACAAAAACACGCACGAAACCGGAAAAAAACACACAATATGGACGTCCGAGCGATGGCGAGAGCGTAGGAGTCAAGTATGGGGGCCCCCGGCAGGCCAACCCGAGTCCCCCGTGCCCGAGCCTCACGCCGCCCAGAAATGGCTGAGTGGGCGGCGAGGGCTGCAGAAGCGGGGCCCTGCAGGGCCCTGTAGGGCCAAGTCGTGCATAACCTTCTACAGGACGAATATTCAAACATGGTTACTCAGAACTAGTATGGGGGCGATTGTTCTACAACTTCTGGCCATGTTTGGATATGGTTTGACCATTGCTTCCTCCGAGAATCCGCCTGCAGGAGGACATGCCCGACCTGACTCTGCGCCCCTTCAGGGCCCACAAGGGGGCCCTGCAGGGCCCGAGATGTGCACCGTCCTTCCCCCCCCATGGATCGCTCGCCCATGCACCGCCCCCCGGAGCCGACGACGCATGGCCCCAGGCGGCCCACTCGGCATCCCCGCTTCTGCGAGTAGCCCCGCGCTGCCTCCGCAGCTCGGGCCGGACGAAAGGGGGGGATAGGGAAAGGGGGGGGTACGAAATTTGCTGCATGCAGCTGGTTTCGGCCCCACCGAGGGGCCCATTCCTCGATGCATGGCCGCCTCCTGCGCTGGGAGGCGCCGGGAAAAGCAGCTATACGTGAGCTGATTCTCCAACCCCCCCTTTGCTATCCCGCCCTTTCGCCCGACCCGAATGGTCCCGGGCGGCCCACTCGGCATCCCCGCTGCTGTCGGGGGCGGAAAAGAGGGGGGTGATGACTAGGGGGGGTGGATATCATGGCGGGGGCCATGATATTTCCTCTGATTTCATGGCGCCTCTTCTTATTTCATTACGTCCCTGGCCCCCCCGCTGGGCCGCGCACATGCCGCCGGTCACGATTTGCACCCCCCCCTCTTGGACACCCCCCTCTTGGCCGCTCCCGAGGCTGCGAGGGGCCCCGCGCCGCCTCCGCAGCAGGGCGCCCGTGCGCGCGCCGCCCCGCCGCGCCTGGCCGCGCGGGTCCCTTCCCGGGGCCCCCGGGGAGCGCGGTGCCCGGCCCTCCCGCGGGCCTCTCTCGGCCAGGAGCGGCGCGCGCCGCAGCGCGCGCCGCTCCTGGCCGAGAGGCCCCGCGGATGGCCCTGGCCGGGCGCGGTGGCTCGGCGCAGTCAACCCGTATGGTTAGGTCGGGCGTGTCCCCCTACAGGGGGATTTTCGACGAAGAGTAAAAAATGCCCCAAAGATACCCCAAAAAGGTAAATAACAAAAAAGAAAAAATGCAAAAAAATGCCCCCATTTTTTTTTTTTTTTTACATTTTTTGTCTTTGTTGAGTATTGTTGATTTTTCTTTGAAAATCCCCCTGTAGGGGGACACGCCCGGCTTAACCGTATGGTTAGGTCGGGCATGTCCTCCTATAGGCGGGCCTTGCAGGAAAAATCAAAAATAGTCACACACACACACACAAGAAGAAGTGTTCAAACACAAACCGAACGTGTTCAAACAAAAACAACGGGTCTTCGGGAGTGAAAGGCGGTTGGCGCTGAATTCCCTCGGGCGTGCGCGTGGCCAAATACGCGCCGTGGCCTCATCCGCGCCGGGGCGCATTTCTTCCCTCGCGAAGCCGATGGTGCCCAAGGCGTGGCAGGCCCGTTCGGCGGCGCCCCCGGTGATTTGAAAAACCGAGCATGATTTTTATCCCGGTCAAACTTTGCCCCGATCCTGGCTTCGTCTTGTTGTTTGATTATTGTTGAATATCAATCCATGTAGAGAGTCATGCCCGACTTACCCGTCTGAGAAGGATGCGCGGTGAGGATGCACCGGCCCAGGGCAACAGTGGGGGGGGGACGGGCGACGGGGGGACGCAGCGACCCCCAGTCGCCCACTGTCAAGGGTGGAAAAACCACCCCGACCCCGACAACTCGCGTTTACTAGACAGCCCACAGCCCTGCCCTGTTCGATTCCTTCCATGGGTGTGTTTACTAAACGGCTTCGCTTGTCGGGGTGCTTATTATGGGGGTGGATCTTCGGCTCTCTACACTGCGCGCCGACAGTCGAAGAAAGACAAAAAGACACAAACATTTCCTTTTGGCGCTCCGCGCGGACTTCTCGGACCCGGCTTGGGCCCCCCTCGGCGGCGCCTCCGGCGCAGATCCAAGAAATCCGCGCGGAGCACCAAACAGTTTACGTTTATGACGTTCATTCTTAGTCTAGGGGGACAGGCACGCGGCACAGGAAAGGACGCAGCGGCCCCGAATCGCCCATTAATCGCCGATAGGGGCCCGATAGCCCCAACCGGCCCAGGAAGGCGCGGATGCACTATCGGGGGCCTATCGCCGATCTATCGGCGATGTATCGCCGATTCCAGGTCGATGCTTTCCCCCCCTATGCCCCTCATTGGGGGGGAAACATGTCGATGTTTCCAGGTCGCCGTTTCCAGGTCGATGTTTCCCCCCGATGTTTCCCCCCTCCCCCCCTATGCCCATCCCGCCCTATCGCTGCCCCTCACAGGGCCTCGGAGGGCCGCGTCGACGCTGTGCGGGCGGGGCGCGGCCGGCGAATGTGGTCGTTGACGGGCCGAACCGGAAGGCTGCCGGGGTGACTTTGGGAGGTCGTTCATCCTTACTACGGTCGGGGCCCTGAAGAAGGGACCCTTCCCGTTGGGGAGGGGCTCCGTGTTGCTTGATTGTTTCGCAGGTTGCCTTAGATTGTCCTTAGGCTTTCGGTACGAAATCGAAGTTTAACTTATGGAAAATAGGGGCCTCGTTCCTTATGTAGGGTTCCTTAGGTTCACGCCCCGACTGTATGTGTCCCCATCGGGGGGTAAGTGAATCGGCCAGTGGGGCCCAGCCACGCCAGCAGGGGCAGGGATCGGCGAAACGATGCTCAGCGGTGCGGCCGTGCAGGCACCTTCTGCGCATCCCCCCCTGAACAGCAGTTCCCTCGGCCCCCGCCCCTTGCCAGCCCAGCGGCTATCGCTATTCCTATGGATGGCATCTCCTCCTCTCGATGCCAGTCTTAAGGATCCCTATCAATTTCTGAGGGCGCATCCCTCAGATTATCTGCCGATCTTCGGGATACGATCAACCCTCATAGTGAAGATGGGCAATGTTCCGACGGGTACCCTGGCGTCTTTGCCTCCTCGGTCCATCCTTGGCCACTTTCGTTGGCCGCGCCCCGCTCGAAAAGCTCCGACGTGGGCGCGCAAGGCCCTGGCATCCTCATCGCGCATCCCTGTGATACGGGCCGACTGCATGGATAAGCTCGAGGCCGCCGAAGCAGCCTCGGCCCCCGCAGCCAGGCCCCGCAGCGCCTGCAGACCCGGCGCAGGGCGCCCCCGGCGCGGACGCGGACGCCGGGCCGGCCGCCTCCCGCGCCAGCGCCCCGCCGGCGGCCTGGGCGGCGCCGCCCGTCACGCCCACGCTGAGGCTGGTCGGGCGGCGCCAAACGTCCGAGAACGTCCGTTACCCGTCCCTCGATGTATCCTTTTGGGGCGTCCTGGGAGGCCCTCGTCGCAGTGCGCCTCGCCATTCCGGTCAGGACGCACCAGGGAAAGGGTATAGGGGAGCGGCGGTGCCCAAAGCGTGCCGCCAGAGGGTGTGTGGGGAGCTTCGATTCGGCGGCGAGCCCAGGGGGGGATGCAGAGTTGGCGGGCCTCCTCAAAACGCTCGGAAGGCTTACGACTTTCTCAGAAGATTTGAAGGAGCGCTTTCTGCCGCTGCTGGACGGGTGCGGGGTTTCCCTCCCACCCCTCCCCGGGAAGATGATCCGGGGGTCCCGAAACACCCTCCCCCTCCCACCTCAGCATCATGGCGACGACGACGCCGCCGCCGACAGCAAACGACGCGGACGACGACGACGACGACGACGACGACGACGACGACGACGACGACGACGGATACGAAGAACACGGCGAATACGACGGACACGACGACAACGACCACGACGACCACGACGACCACGCCGACGACGACGCTGACAATGACGACGACGACGAGCAAGATTGAGCAGACAAAGAGAGCATAATAGGAGTAGGGTAGGTTATAGTAGAGTTGGGTTGGATACGGTAGGCTTGAGTTGTAAAGACTAGTGTAGGGTAGAGTAGACCAGAGTAGAGTAGAGTAGAGCGCGGAAACGTAGTTCAGATCCGAGCAGGGCCGAGTCGAATAAAGAAGGGTGAGTAGGGCAACGCTGGGACGCATCTGTCGCACCCCCCTCCCTTGGGCGAAAATAGTTCCCTTCGGCCTTGGAAGTGATACCGCCCCCCATCCAGCGAAAATGCGTTCTTCGCCTCAGCGCTGCGCCGGGTATCAGTTTCACGGGTGGAGGTTGGGCTCTTTTTGCAGAGTTCGATTATCGCCACAGCGCTGCGCACATTCATCTAACAAGCTTGCAGAGGTTTCACGGATGGACGTCGGGTCCTTTCTGCAGAGCTCGTTATCGCCACGGTGTCGCGCACGTTCGTTTTCAAAGTTCGCAAAAGGTTAACGCATGGAGGGCGGAGTTTTATCATATTGCCATTTTCCCCGTGCCGCGCACGTTGACTTGAAAATCTTGCAACCGCTTCACGGCTGGAGTGCGGTCCATGTCAGAACCGTAATATTTGTCTCACGTCGCCATTCTCGTTTTCAAAGCTTGCAGCGCTTCCCTGATGGAGGGCGGGTACTCCAGATTTCGTAATAAAAGGGAGGGGGTCTCATTTCGGGGGGGGTCTCTTCCAGGCTATCTTGTAGGGCCTGGGGGGGTCTGGGGACGATGTTTTGGAGGGTTCTCCCACGGGGGGGGGGGTCTGAAATGGCTTGTCTTGGAGGGTCCAGATCCCCTCCATTTTATTACGAAATCTGGAGTAGCTGGCGCCGCGCACCTCCCCCCCCCAACAGCTCGCAAGTGTTTCACGGATGAGGGTGGGCCCGTTTCAAAACGTGGATTTCGGCCCAGCGCCGCGCGCATTCGTGTTCAAAGTTTGCCGAGGCTTCGCGGATCGAGGACGCCTCCTCCTCTCAGAATTCGGCCATCGACGCAGCGCCGCGCACATTCGCCCCAGAAGTTCACGGGAGCTTCACGGATGGAGGGCGGGCCCATGTCAAATGCGATTTTCGGCTTAGCGCCGCCCGCATTCGCTGTAGAAGTTCGCCGGGGCTTCGCGGACCGAGGGCGGGCCCATTCCAAAATGCGATTCGTTTTAGCGCCATGTCGGGCGCGTCCCCCCTCAGGGGGATTTTCGACGAAAAAGAAAAAATATTCCAAAAATGTGCCAGAAAGGTCAACAAATATTCAAGAAGTAGTCCCCAGATTACGTTTGGATTTTTTGTTGAGCATTTTCGGTGCATTTTTTATGATTCGCCGAAAATTGCCCTGTGCGGGGACAGGCCCGACTTAATTTTAGCGTCGCGCGCATTACTGCTACGCGTCGGCAAGATCTTCGCGGATGGGGGGGGGGCCCGATGCCGCGCGCGGCGTTCGCCCCGGCGCCGCGCGCATGCTCTCCGCGAGAGCTTCGCGGATGGGGGGCTGTTTTTTTCTCGGAGCGCGGCTTTCGCCCCAGAGCCGCGCGCATTTGTCTACAACGCACGCAAGAAGTTCGCAGATAGACGGCGGGCGCTTTTTGTCCCAAAGTTTTCGCGAGTGTCGCGGCGCGCAGCATTGCGCCGCGACGCCGCGCGCGCCTCTGCTCGCGCGCGCGCAGTGCAAACGCCATTAGAGTTCGGCCACCTTGATCTCGAACAGTGAATGGTGACAACTCGCCGCGTCGCTCGCACACGGCGGGCCCCGACGCGGAAGAATGCACATTCCTGGTCGCGCGCGCACGCGCGTTCGCGCACGTTTTCTCGCGCGCGCAACGCAAACCATTTCGACCATTGGTTTGCGCGAGCTAGTTGTTTCACTCGTGCCCCGAGGAGCGCCGAACAATGATCGCAGCGCGACCTTGCGCGCGCGACTCAGTTCGCCCGCCCCCCCGCGCGCAATGCCATGACAAATAGGGAGTGGCAGTCTTAACTTCGAAACCCGAATGCTAAAGACGGATGGATTCACTCGCGCCTTGCGGGGCGCAACGTGGGCCGCGCCCGCGCGGGCCCCCCGCTGCCCGCGCGCGCGCGCGCCCCTGCGCTCGCAACGCAGACAACAGATGAAGGATGGCCGTCTTACTTCTCGAGAATTTAACGTTGAAAACAATGCGTCTCATTCGTTCCAAGGGCCTCAGCGCGGAGAGCAGCGCTGCGACGCGGCGCGTCTCCCTCATCGCTCGCGCGCGCGCGCAGCGAGGGCGACGCGCAGCGTTCCAATGCATCATTCCACCTGGTGGCCTCCACCACGCGGGCGAAATTACCCCGTTCAGTTTGTCAAGCCAAGATGGGGGGGCGATCAAGCCGCGCCTGCATTGCGCGCGCGAGACCGAGCGCGCTCGCGCGCGCGGGCGCGCGGGAGCCATAATGGCCACGCGCAGCGTCGCAACGCATTATTCCACGTCGTGGCCGGCAGCGCGCGAGCGGGACATTCGAAACTCACCGTTCAATGCTCGACGTTACGATGGCCATTCTTTTATTGCGCGCGCAGGAACTGCTGGACGCACGCAGCGCCGCAGCGCAATGCGCCGCGCTGACGCCCTCAGAACGCGAGTGAAACAAGTGGCCGCCACATTCAGTTTTCGAACCAAATTGTCTTTTATTCAACGGATTTTGCATTGCGCGCGCTCGCGCGAAACCGAGCGCTCGCGCGCGCGCGGGGAACGGAGGCAGCACGCAGCGCCGCGGCGCATCGCCCCGCGCCGAGGCCCTTAGGACACGAGTGAAACTGCTTGGTTTCACCACCCAGCGCTCGAAGCGGAGACTGCCGCTCCCCTTCCGTTTGTCGCGTCGCGCGCGCTCCATCGCGCGCGCGAGCAACCGGGGCAGCGCATGGCGCCACGATTCGTCCGCATACGTTGAGGCCCTCAGGACACGAGTGAAACAATTGGTTTGTTCATCATGCAGGTTGCAACGCTAAGGCTGCCAGCATTCATCGCCGTTCGTTTTCTTTTTTGGCGCGCGCGCGCCTGCCCGCGGGCAGCGAGGGAAGCGCCGCGCGTCGCCGCGCGGCATTCCGCGCCCGGGCCCTCAGACTACGGGCGAAGCAACTAGCGCTCGACAGTCGCTGGCCCAGTCATGATGGCAGCCAATGCGCTGGCGCCGCATTGCGCGGGCGCCACATCGTGCGCGGCGCCCCTGCGCATAATGTCACGACGGGAAGGGGGGGGGGGCGGGGGCGCGGGGCGGGGGGGGGGCGCTCAGAAAATGAGCGACACATTTCATCGTCTCCATTCAGTTCCCCCAGCGAGGACAGCGGGCCACGACGACCCGGCGTTGCGCGCGCGCACAACGGAACATAGCGCTCTACGCCACGACAGCAACGCCGCGTCACACCGCGGCGCAGCGCGCACAATCACGCCGCCTGCCCGAGCGCTCGCCGCCGCGGGGGCTCGGCGCCCCCAGATGAAATCACAACTGGCGTTCTCGCAATCTGCGCGCCCGGCGAGCGCTCGTGCACTGCGCTGAATTACAGAGGCCGCATCACCGGGAGTCGGCGCGCCCCCCCCCCGCCCGCTCGCCCGACCGTCAGCCCCGAGGGATGTCGGAGCGCGGTCGTTACATCTTGCCGTCGGCGGTGGCGGGGCGATGCTCTTCGGGGCGGGGCGCCGTTCAGGGCCGCCGAGAAAACTCACTGCCGCGAGCGGCAGCGAGCGGAAAGCCGCGGCGTTTCAGCCCGGCCAGCGGGGCGGAGGCACAAGGCGGGCAGCGCGCGTTTTCGGATTTCAACCGCAGTCAAGGGACAACCTCACAGGGCCCGCGCGGGGATAAGGAGCTGAAAAGCCAAAACCTTCAGTTAAGTATATCTCCTCTGGAAATCGCGCGGCCCGCGGGGGCGCGAAGGACTGGCGGCCCCACGCTGGCCGCCCATCGCAGGACTCGCGTCGCTGAACGAATCTGCCCTGGAATTCAGATACCAGGCTGGGCCCCTCCGAATTCACGCGCAGGAGTTCGATGGGGGATTTTTTCGTCGCCATCCGACGCCCGCGGAGCGACCTCCTGGCGGGTAGCAATGTCCAGATGTTTTCCAGACCATGCGTTGTCCAGTTGTTGTACATAACAGCTTTCCTGTATCCATGACGGTTTTCTGTGAAAGAAGCTATTCCAGAAGCTGTATACAACCTCAACAGAATGGACTGTTGAGGGGAGACTTGACGGATGTACAGATGTAGACATATGATATACCATGCGCGTAGCCAGTCGTCGCGGGCGGGCTCTCCGTCGGCGCGGCCCCCCCAAGCGGGGGAACTGCCGGCTTTCTCGGCGCGCTCGGGCGGCGCGGGCCGATCGCGGGGGGGCGGGGGGGCACGACGCCTCGGCGGCGTGCTCGGGCCGCCGGGGAGATCATCGCCGTTCCAACATTGCATCAAGGACGCCGTCGATTGCCTCCAAGTCCCCCTCGTGCGCCCGGGAGACGCACGCGCTCGCGCGCGGGCACGCGCGCAGCTACGCGTCTAGCTTGCACCGTCATATATGTACTCACGCGCGTAGACGCAAGCATGCATCTTGGCATCGCTCGGACGTGTGCATCTTTCCTTCGGCGAGGGCCGTCGAGGAACATCCTTGACCGCTTGGCGAAAAAAACCACGCACGAAACCGACAAAAAAACACCAAAAATGGACGTCCGAGCGATGGCGAGGCATAGTTCCACGTTGGCGATACGCACCTGCACATGCATCTGCAATTCTCCACAGGCGCGCGTGCACCTGCGAGCGCGCGCGCGCACGCGCTGCCGGGCCCGCGCCCGAGAGAGAGGCGCCCCGTTCCACCCGCTTTGCGGGCGCACGGGGCATGAGGCGCAGCAGAGAAGCGGGGTTGCATCGGGCGTCTCGCCGACCGCCTCTCGGGAGGGGAAAAAACACAGACACAATTAATCGTCGATCCCCCCCAAAATATGGGAGAATATGGGAAGTGGGGGGAAGACAGAAACCCAGAAAAAATTGGAAAATATGGGAAATCCTCTTATTCATTTGCGTGTGTGTCCCAGGGCCCCGTCAGCCTCGTCGGGCATCAGCGCATCAATCTCACAGAAGGTTGATCTTCGGCCGTGCGACATCGCGACCGCGATGCGCAGCCAATCGGATTCTGGCGCCCGCGCCCGATCCACCGCGATCGCCCCCCTTCCGGGGGCTGGGCCCCAAGACGCGCCGCAAGCGCTCGGGCCCGAAGACGCCTCGGGCGCGCGAAAGGCAAACGCGGGGCAGGACACGGCACGCCGAAAAATAGACAATGGGCGCCCGCGCGGCAGGGGGCGTCGCATTCCTTCCGATCGTCCCCGGCAAGCCTGGGCTCGGCGGCGCGGGCCCCCCGGAGGCAGGGGGCGCGGGCCGGGCGGGGCAACGCCGCTCCCGCCCCGATGTGCCTCGACTAGATGTAAGAGTGACCTTTCGCCGGAGTGACCTTTGGTGCGGGCACAATGGGGTTCCCGATCGCCGAACGCGATGCGATCGTAGCGCATTGCGCGCCTGTGTTTGGTCCCCCCGCGGCCCCCCAAACGCCGCGCACCAAAGGTCACCCTTGCCCAGGGTCACTCCTGCGTGTAGCCGAGTGCCAGGCATCGTCGCCGCAGAGAGGATTCGCTGCCAACGTCTGCTCGGTCGGCCCCCAATTGGGCGCCGAGCGAGCCGGCCAACCTCGAAAGAGCACGCGCAAGGGAGAAGGGGGCAGGAGAGGAGAGCGCCCGCCGCTCCGCTCTCGCACCGCACTGCCCAGCGCAGCTCGGCCTGCGACGAGGCAGGTTGGGCGCGGTGGCCGCGCGCTCCCGCGTTGGCACACTGAACTTACGGTAGGTTTGCGTCGTGTCGACCAGCGGCGACCCCAGCGCGGGTGTTCAAGGTTGAACGCCGCCTGCGACCCAGAATCGATCGATTCTGAACGATCGGACGTTGCGGCAGCGGCCGATCGTTCAAGGTTGAACGATCCCTGCGGTGTCAGAAACCAACGCTGGGGTCGGCACGACACGAACCTGCCGTAGCCACGTTCCTGGGCCCGGCGCCGTCTTGGAGGCCACGTGCGCGCAGGTTCATCGTGGGGGCGTGGGGGGGCCGGGCAGTCGCGAGGCATCGCAGCACGCCATGGGGACACCGGGATCGCGCATCCAGAGTGGAAGGAGCAACAGGCGCATCAATGCAGCATGTATGCTCGCTCAAAAAGTACAGTGCCGTGTTTTTATACATGCTCCGCGTGCGGATCATGTATTAGAAATACAGGGTTTAGCATTGAAAAAAACGATGAGTTCATGCATGAATTTATTCATAAACTAATCATGTATTAAGATCCTATAGTTTTAAAAAAGCGCATGTATTAAAAATTGCCCTGTATCGACGACGGCTGCGACAGAGCCTGGCTATCTGTCACGCGTTTGTTTTTGCGTCCCTCGCGCTCCGCCAAAAGTGTGCCGAGAGAGGCCGAAGGCCGTGCGCCGAGTGCTCCGAGGGAGGCCGGAGACCGTTCGCCGCGAGATGGGGGGGGAGCAGCGCGCGCGGGCGCAGCGACGCTGAACGATTGGTCCGCTGCGGGGGACGGGCGTAGCTAAGGAGGGGGAAAACACACACACACACACAGACACACTTCATCGCCGACCCCCAGGAAAACATGGGAACATATGGGAAGTGGGGGGGGAGACAGAAACCCCGAAGATATAGGGAAATGTGGGGAGTCCTGTTATTTGTGTGTATTTATTTGTGTGTCCCAGGACCCCTTCAGTAACCTCTGAACTGCTGGAACCACGTGGTGGAGCCGAAACACTACGACGGGAACTCGCGGTATACGCGAGTCAGGAAAGGAAAAAACACACCGACACAACCAATCGTCGACTCCCAGGGAAACATGGGAAACATATGGGGAGTGTGGGGGAAGACGACCCCAGAAAAGATTTGAAAAGATTTGGAATATTGGGAGTTGTGTGTATTTGTTTGTGTGTCCTTGGGCCCCTTCAGCGAGTACCGAATCACGCATGCGCATGTTCACACGCACCGAATAGGCAGCACACGCTAGCAATACACTCAATGGACACGCGCGCGGGAACATTTGGAAAAATTGGTGTTCTAAATCGTAGCAAAAAGCAGGTGGAAAGTTTACATTACTTGTGTAAGCACGCAATCGCCATGTCACGAAATACATTGCAAAACAAATGTGTACGTATAACCCGCGCGGGGCAGGCAAAGCCGATTTGCTAAATTGCAAAGTATAGTTTCCATGCTGATCTGAAACAGCCTTCCAGGGGAGAGGCCTGGACCCCCCGAATCATTGCCCCGGGCAGATTTTGACACTCGCTCCGCCGCTTTTACTCCAATATTCTCCTCTTGCGCCCTCAGCGCGCGTTGCCTTCGTCGCCTTTCCACAGCCCCCCGACCCCTTGCGTCGTTCACCCTCGAGTCTCACGCGCGGGCGCAGGCGGGGAGGGGAATCTGCACCCCCCCGGCTCTTTCCGGGAAGGGGGGTGGAGGCTCGGGGGCGGGAGGGCCCTTGGCTCCCGCCCGCCCCTAATGATTTTTTTTGCTGGCGGGGGCGGGGCCCTCAGTTTCGATTTCCCCCCTTTTCTAGTTTTTTCGGGGCAGTAAAGGTGGATCGCGCCCCTTCGACTTGGCATCGCTCGGACGTGTGCATTTGTCCTTCGGCGAGGGCCATCGAGGAACATCCTTTACCACTTGGCGAAAAAAACACGCACGCTACCGACGAAAAACACAAAATATGATCGTCCGAGCGATGGCGAGTTCGAAGATTTCGAAGCACTTTCCGAAGGCAGGGACGGTTCCACAGAGGGGGCGGCTTTTTTCAGAAGGCCGGACGGTCTGTGGCAAGCCCTTCCGCCTTCTGAGAAGGCTTGCCCCTGTCACTTCTCCCCCGGGTGTGCCGCCGGTCGACGTGGCAGGTCAGCGTGGAGGACGGCGGGGAGGAGGGATAGGGGGAGGGGGAGGAGGAGGAGGAGGAGGAGGAGGAGGAGGAGGAGCAGCAGCACTAGCAGCAGCCTCGGTAGAAATTGAGAAAGAGGGCCCCTTCGTCCAACCTCGACTTTCCGTAGGCGTCGGACCGCAAGTTGCCATTATTCTGACTTGTTGCGCGTTGGTCGCCCCTGGCTCGCTTATCGTGAGGTCGACCTGGAGCTCCGCTCTTGTTTGTTTCCCGTGCTGCGTCGCGTCAGCAAGGTATGTCGTTCACGCTTAAATGTATGTTCAGGTGGGCTGACGTCTTCGTCGGCGATACTTGCCAGGATGATGTTATAAAACAGGCACGGACGCCGTCGCGCCGTCCACTATTCCGTAGTTTTTGATGAGTTGAGTGGTGTCGCCACACAGGCCTGGCGAAGAGACATGTCCGCATTGCGCCAATATCCACGGCCCGTTGGTGTGGATGAGAGACGGGAGAAGTGAGGGAAGGGGAAGGAGAATAAGGATAGCGATGGTGGTTTGCAAGGCTCCCGCGAGTCCACGCGCCCTCGACAACACGACCGCGTGTCTGCTCAGGCAATACAAGCATGGCGGCGGCATGGCAAGCAGCATTCGGCAGCATCGGTGCAACCTGTCACAGCAGCGGTGTTGCCCAGTGTATTCACGGTTGTCTGCCCAACCCTTGGATGCCACCGCCGACAGGCATCGCGGGCAAGAGGCGTCGGAGGCCCGTGGGGAAGGGGGCACCGTCAGACGAGGAAGTGTTCGGAGTCGTCTCGTGTTGGTCACCGCACCTGTTCTCTCCGAGCTCTGCGCGGGTGTCTTGCCTCGAACGACGTGCCACTTACACAGGATCCTGCGGCTGCGAGGGGGGAGACAGAAGCTTCAAGAAGTCGCTTCTGGCGATTCACCGCAGGCCCAAACTGTTTCAGAAACCAGTCGAAAGAGCACTGTGGGAAAAAAGGGGGGCGAGCAGGAGGGAAGGGAGGAGAACGAGAACGAATCGGAGGAGGAGGCCCCGTTGGCCCCTTGTGGGGGCCTCTTGGAGCCACCTTGGGCCATCTAAAGAGTCGCGGAGGGCATAGTGAACAAGATTGGTTCGCAGTGTCCCATGTGCAGACTACTCCACAGCGCGAGGCGCTTGTCGGCGCCGTAGCTGTTCATCGGAGTGTGTACGTGGGGATTCCTGCTTGCAGTGGCGCAGCCGTGGTTGGTTGGACCTCATGCTTGTGCAAATATGAGTCCTCGGGGTGGGTAGCAAGAGGCAGTACGGACGATGCGTTGCCGATGGACGGTGTCCGCTTCGAGTTCCCACGTCCCCATATGACCACAGTATTTCGCGCTCCTCTTGCGTTCGCATGCATTCTAGCACACGGGCCTGGCAATCGGACATGCACATGTGCGAGGGAGGGAAGGGATAAGGAAGTGGCATGCTGCTTTGCTTGGCACTTCGAGGCCATGAGATTCACCATCGGCACCACACCCCAGGACAAGGCGAGCGTGGCAACTCTGCTGCGGATGTGGCCAAATCCGTTGCGTGCGTCACGGCGTGATGAGCGATGTGTGAAGGTAGGGTTCAACACATATGTTTGTCGCAAGGACTTGGCATCGCTCGGACGTGTGCATTTTTCTGTCGGCGAGGACCATCGAGGAGCATCCTTTATGATCTGGCGAAAAAAAAACACGCACGAAACCCCAAAAAACACAGGGAATAGACGTCCGAGCGATGCCCAGTGGAACACGCAGGTGTCAGCTGCCATGAGGACATACATGGCAGCGTCAGCGGTGATATTCGCATGGCGGCTCCAGCGGCGGACCACTGCGCCTTGTGTCCAGTGGATTGGTTTGGGTTTGTGACTGCAAGGTGTTGGTGAGTGTCTTATCCCGTGTATGGAGCATTGGGGCAGATGTCGGATGATGGTTACGTGTGGTAGTGTGTTTTGGTGTATGTCAGTACCACTTGCAGGGGCAATCCGTGGTCAGGCGTTTGATGTTCGATGATTGGAGCGAGTATCGTTTCCAGCTGCCTGCAGCACATGTGGCCACTGTGCCAGCGCAGCAGCGCAGCAGGAAGGAGGTTGCGGTTGCTCCCCCGTCCCGAGCAAGTGCAGACCTGGACCAGGGCGCGTGGGCCCGCGACGGGCCGTGCCTCTGTGCAGAATCGGCTCGCTCCGTCGCCGAATACTCGGCGCCACCCCCGCACGCTTCTTCTGTGTGTGCGTCGCCCCTGCAGGGGCGACGCGCGCGCCGAAGAACCCTGCAATCCCCTGCAGAGTGTGAACTGGGTGGCGGGCGCTGTCTGGCCATGCCGCCCCTCCCCCTCCCCCTCCCGCTCCTCCCCCTCCCCCTCACCCTCCCCCCCTCCTCCTCCTCTTCCTCCTTCTCCTCCTCCACCTCGTCCTCCTCCTCCTCGTGAATCGATACGCTACAAGACGCTTGCACTACATGTGCGGGTCGGGCGCCCGCCTCCGAGGAGAGGACACGTGAGGCCTCCTCCCTCCTCCTCCTCCTCCTCCTCCTCCTCCTCCTCCTCCTCATCCCCCTCCTCTTCCTCCTCCCCCTCTCCTTTTCCTCCTCCCTCCTCCTCCTCCTCCTCCTCCTCCCCTCCTCCTCCTCCTCCTCCTCCTCTCCTCCTCCTCCCCCTCTCCTCTTCCTCCTCCTGCTCCTCCTCCTCCTCCTCCTCCTCCTCCTCCTCCTCCTCCTCCCCCTCCTCCTCCTCCTCGTTCCAGAAATGGCTCTGCCTTCGAGGATCGAAGGAGGTGCCAGCTCTTCCGCGGCGGAAGGTCGGTGAAAGCAAAACGAGGCGGCTTTCCTCCGCCGGCGGAAGGAGGCGGAGGTAAAAAAGCTGTGCCCCCAAAAGATGAGAGCGTTGTTGGCTTCAGGGTTACCAGAAGCCGCCACATCTTGGCATCGCTCGGACGTGTGCATGTTTTCTCGGTGGGGACCATCGAGGAGCATCTTTGATCATTTAGCGAAACATACGCGCACGAGATCGACGAATGCATGTGGAATGGACGTCCGAGCGATGGCGAGACATGGTACTCGTTGCTGGTACGTCTTTCTGCGCCAGGGCGGCACTGTTGCTCCATGATTCCCGGGGGGGCAGTTCCCCCGGTAGCCGTGCCAGCGCGTGCCCGCCCCTCCCTTTCGCTTCCGCCCTTCGGAACCTCTCATTCGGGGAGAGAGAGGGGGGCACTCGCCGCCACGCAGCTGGCTCCGCCGCGAAGTCCTGGCCAGAACGCGTCCTGGGAGAGGCCCCCACAGTGCGCTCGCTCGGGGGCGGCAAAGAGGGGGGTGATGACTAGGAGGGGGTGGATGTCATGGCGGGGGCCATGATATTTCCCCAGATTTCACGGCGTCTCTTCTCATTTCACTACGTCCCTGGCCCCCCCGCTGGGCCGCGCACATGCCGCCGGTCATGATTTGCACCCCCTCTTGGATACCCCCCTCTTGGCCGCTCCCGAGCCCGTGATTTTTGTTTTTTCTTCATTGCTTTGCCGATCGGCGAGGGGGCCTCGTGCCCTCCCTTGCCCCCCCCATTTGGAGTAGACCGTGACTGTTTTTGGCGCCTGTTTCAGGCAGGTGGGGTCTCCCCCACAGGACGCACTCGCACTACGCAGAGGTCCGGAGCCAGACTCCCCCCCCGTCTTTCCGCCCAATGTCGAAACGCCGAGTAAAAAACCGTCACCTAGGTTCATGGCGCGATGGCGCGCCAACGACACCAGCGAAGGCGTTCAAGGTTGAATCTCGCATGATAGAACGACGGTAACGCCACAGGACCCGACGGGATCCAACCTTGAACGATCGGGGCCACGATCGGTTCAAGGTTGAACGATCGACGCGGTGTCAAAAACCTTCGCGCGCGCCGACGCCGCACGAACCCAACGTAGTGGTGTCGGTCTAGTTCTGTTGTCCCCCAGAGAGATGGAGAGAGAGAGAGAGAGGAAAGAGAGAGAGAGAGGGAGAGAGCACACACACACACACAAAACATGTGTTCAGCATCATCTGGCAACGCCACGCTTTTCCGAAGGGGGCAGAGGGCGGGTAGAGCCGCGGTCTGCGCCGGCGCCTTCTAGGAATTCGGTGCCATCCTATTCCCAGACGGCGCCGGCGCGGCCCCAGCAGCGGGCGTGGTCGCGAATAGTTTCCGAGTGGGTTCGAAGGGGGTCTCGCCATGAATCGTGGGAGCGTAAGACCCGGGTTTGCCAGGACTCGGGTTCGCCATCGTTTTTTGACGACCGCGCCTCGGATTTTGACGAGGGGGAGTTTCGTGGGATGTCTGCAGCGGGAGGCCTCGTCAAAATGCAGGCTCGGCCTCGTCATTTTTTTGACGACCTCGTCGGGGATTTCCGAGTCCCCTGTACCCAGGTCTTACGTCCCCCCGAATGAAGAAACAAGATGTTGAGCGCAACGTGATCCGAGGTTTTTCACCTCTTTGGGCCTCCTTTGGGGCCCCGGCCCGGGGCCGACAAGAGACGGCCTGCGACGAAGACCTGGCCCCAGAGAAATCCCTGGTCCAGAACCCATTTTTCCGAGATCCGTTTCGACGGCCTTCCCTGGTGGAGGGCTCCAGTCCGCCCCAGTTCGACGTCCACCCCGAGCGTCTTGGGATGCGAGCCGGTCGGCGCCTCCTCCTCCTCCTCCTCCTCCTCCTCCTCCTCCTCCTCCAAATTATGAAGTTTTTTTTTCGTCCGCGTCACGTCGCCAGCCTCTGGCGACGTCGAGGTGGTCGGCAGAGGAGCGGAACGGAGGGGGTGGGGGGGGGGCGTTGCAGCACGGGGGAAGCGGGGGGGGGCGGAGAGCGGTGAGGAGGGACCTGGTGGTGGAGGGACTTGGCATCGCTCGGACGTGTGTTTTTTTTCCTTCGGCAGGGGCCATCGAGGAGCATCCTTAACCATTTGGCGAAAAAACCACGCACGAAACCGAAAAAAAACAAAAAATATAGACGTCCGAGCGATGGCGAGGGGAGGAACCAGGGAGGAATTGGTGGGCGGAGCGGGGGGGAGGAAGGCAGCATGGGATCCCCGCGGCCCCCCACCGCGCGCGCCGCCAGCCTGCCACCGCCAGCCCCTGGCGCGCCGGGAGGGGCGCGGGTGGCTTCGCATGCGGGTGGGGAGAAGCCCGGCGGGATGGTGGTGCACACCACGCGCGGGTCCGATGCTCCGATGTGTCACCCTTCCGCCTTCCTCTCCCGCCTTGCCTTGCTGTGCTGCTTAGATCGGCCCCTGATAAGCGGAGGCCGCCCCGAGAGGTAGAACAGTTCGAAAGGCGCGCCAAGTATAAAAGTAGAAAAGTGTCAGAACCACGCACACACACAGAAGCATGCGAAAAGTACGAAAAGAGGCGCGAAGCGTTCGAAGAGCGCACGGAACATTGAACAATCCGGGAAACTACGGGAAAAGAATCGAAAAGTGGCAAAAGCGAGGCGAACGAGAGGCCGAAGAACGCGAAGCGCTCGAAGGGCGCGCGAGGAGCACAAAAAAACGCAGATAACACGACATATTCGAAGGCGCGCGCAGTTCAAACATCAAAGCGTCGTCGAGGGAGAATAGCTAAACGCGGAACTAGGAAACCCGAGTAGTAGAACATATCACAAGATTGAGACGAGGATTCCGACGACAAGCTGAGAATGTCAATTATTAGTGAGACGCCCAGCAATGAGGAGGGCCAGTATACACATGTCGCGGAAGACCCAGTTGCCACTCATTCTTTTTTGTTTTCTTTGAAATTAGACAGACACAAAAGCGGAAGCCATCGCGAAATACAGTAGAAAACGAGACGCGCACCCTAAAGAACGTGCGAGCGCGAGAAACGCTAGCTACGGAAAAGAGAGAATACGGGGAGCATGCAATAGCTGGGCGAGATACGAAAACCGGGAACTCATCGAAAACCGAATTTCGTTTCTCACGGAGCATTTTGTTACCTTTTTTCAGAGAGCACCCGAGAGACCCCCAATACAGGTAGGATTGGCCCGTGGGCACAGCCCAGGCGTTTTGACTAGGCACCAGTTTGGTCGCATCGTCTGTCCAAGAGGCTTCTGGACCACAAGCTGGGCGCAGTGGCGGGGTGAGCCGAAGGCCGGTAGACGCCGCACCCCCACCCCCCCCCCCCCACCCACCAACCCACCCACCCACCCCACCCCACAGCTCCCAGGAATGGGAGCTGCCAAGGAGGACGCGGGGCGAGGGAGAGGGGGAGGCCGCCTTGACGGGAAGAGGGGGGAGCGGCAGGAGCAACGGGCAGATTGGGCACGGCGGCAGAGGAATGACAGGACGAGAAGGGGGCGATGGCGAGGACGAGAGCGAGGGGAGACACGAGCGAGGGGCCGCGGATTCCTTGCGATCGACCTCGGGAGGAGCCAGCCTCTCCCAACAGAGGGCGACGCACGGCAGGGGGGGCGTCCAGTTGACGACGTTGCGCAATCGACGCGGCGCACTTCGCCTTGCCGAGCTCGAAGTTGCCAACCCCGTTGCTCGCGCAATCACCCCGCCCGTCCATCCGCAGCTTGGTCCGCAAAACCAACGCGGCGACAAGGACCGCTCGGCGTCCGCTGGCGCGTCGCCGCGGTCGCGCTTGCGCGCGCGGGCTCGCGCGCAAGCGGCCTGCTCGTTCGGCGTCGCGGCCGCGGCAGCGCCGACCCCGGGGCGCCCCCCGGCGCCTCCTCGCGCGGACGCGCGGGCACTTCAGCACCGGTCGGCAACGCGGGCGGGGGCGCCGTCGCGGCGACGTTGATGGGGGCAGATGCGAAGATGATAGCAGCAATGACGGCAACGACGGCGGCATGGCCAACGACGGCGCCGGCGTCGGCCGCGCCGAAGACGACGGCGGCGCCCGCGCGTCGGCGATGCGAGGTTCTGGAAGGACTTCGACGCGCGCGGCGCGTGGCGCGCGCGCTGCCTCCGACAGGGATCGCGCCCCGAACCCCCCCCCCGCCCCAGCCCCGCCCAAGCAAGCGCCGGATTCGTCGCGTTCGAGGAAGGCGTCGAAGCGCACGCGGGCGCCCCCTGGATTTGCGCGCTTTTTTCTTCGAAGATCACGTTGAAGAACAGTCGAGTTTCGTCGGGTTCCAGAAAGGGCGATCTCCAATTCGCGAGACCAGCGGGCTCCTTCGCGATTCCGGCACGCGCGCGATTGCGCCCGCGCGCCGGTTTTGTTTTTCGTTCCACGTTGATGTGCGATGAGCGAGCGCGCGCGCGATATTATCCGACGCGGGCCGGGGGGGCGATAGCGGCCCGACCGGGGCGGACGGGGCAGATCCGCGCGACAATTCTAATCTTCTGGGAGGATGCGATAGAGCAGGAGGCGCCCTCGAACTGCCCTCGGACACGGGGGCGCACGCGGCGCGTTTCAGTTTGTGGAACACGACGTTTGACATTCAATTGCCCGCGCAATCACCCCAACCGCCAACCGGCACTTTGGTTTGCAGAGGCAACGCGGCGGCAGTTGCGACGACCGCTCGGCGCCCGCTGGCGCGTCGCCGCGGCCCGGCTAGCACGCGCGAGCTTGCGCGCAATGAGCGGCCGGGCAGGTCGGCGCGGCCGCGGCGGCTTCGGCGGCGTCGACCGCAGGCCAGGCCCCGGCGCCTCTCCCAGGCCGCGCTCACGCGCGGGCGGTTCCGCGCGAATCGGCGACGCGGGCGGGCGCGGCATCGCGGCGACGTCGATAGCGGCGGGCGCGACAATGACGGCAGCGATCAAGGCGACGACGATGGCGATAACCGCGGCGAGGCCGATGACGGCGCCGGTGCTTGCCGCGCCGATGACTGCGACGGCGCCCGCGCGTCGGCGATGGAGGTCGCGGGGGATTTCGACGCGCGCGCGGCCGACGCGCCCCAGCGGCCCGCGCGGCGCGATTTGGCAAAGGTCGCCCCCCCCCCCGAAGAAAAGCAAGCGCGCGAGGGCGTTCGAATGGTTGCGACGCGTGCGCGCGAGAGGCCCGCTTGCCCCAATCGGCTAGCATTTCCAATGAAAATATAGAAAATCAGTTGTTTCTCGAGCAGGAGCGCGAGCGCGGGGGCAGGCCCACGCGCGTGATAATTTCGATTGCGAAGCCATGTGTGTTCATCGCTCGATTATGAAGTCTTCACGAAACACGCACTGTTGCCAGGATTATAGCATGCGCGCGCGACGAAGCGCTCGCGCATTTCGTCATCTTTCTGCATGCGATTTCTGGAAATCTGCGACGCCCAGCACAGGAGCGCGCGCGTCGCATTTCTCTTGCAGAGGATGGGGGGGGGGGTGGGCGACGCCAGTCTAGCCGAGGCGGCGCGGAGTCAGATGTAAGAGGGACGAGCGCACAAAAAAAATGCGCATTTCGCAGACGGGGGGCCGCTAAGTCCCGGGGCGGGGCGATGCATTTTTCGCGGAAAAGAGAACTCACGTTGAAGAGCTTGAACCGGTCAACGCCGTTGCCCGCGCGAACGCCCCGCCCGCCTTGCAACGCTGCGCGCGCGAGCTATTCGGCGCCGATTGCGACGAGTGCTCGGCGCCGGCCGGCGCGCCGCCGCGGCCGCGCGCGCGCGCAGAGCGGCCAGCTAGTTCGGCGCTGGCCGCTGGGGCCCGGGCGCGCCCCAGGGGCCAGGGGCCGCGCGGGCGCGTCGGCGCGAGTCGGCGACGGGCGGGCGATGCATCGCGGCGACGTCGACGACGACGGCAGCGATCATTGCGACGACGATGGCGACGACAAGGCCAATGACGGCGGCCGACGCGCCCGAGCGGCCCGCGCGGCGCGACGCGGCAGGGCCTCCCCCCCCGGAAGAACAGCAAGCGCGCGAGGGCGTTCGAATGACGGCGACACGTGCGCGCGAGAGGCCCGCTTGCCCCAATTGGCTCGCACTCCCAGTGAAAAAATGGAAGAATCAGTGGCTTCTCAAGAATATGCACGAGCGCGAGGGCATGCTCTTCGACAACTTTGGTTGCGAAGCCACGTGCGCTGGTATGTTTTCAGGGCGCTCGATTTTGAAGTCAGCGCGAATCGCAACAACGTTGCCGGGATTCCGGCATGCGAGCGCGACGAGCCGAGCGCGCATTACGTCTCATCTTCTGCAAGCGGCCATTGAAATCTGATGACATTTGACAAAGGATCGCGCGCGTCGCGTTTTGCAGCGGAAGACAAGGGGGGGTCCGACCTACCTGTGGCGGCGCGAGCTCAAAATTAGGATCGGCGAGCGTTATATATACACGCGCAATCTCAATTCGCGCATGGGGGGCCGCTAAGGCCTGGGGGGGGGGAATCTGTTGTTTCTTTGAAAGGAGAACTCAGGTTGAAGAGCTTGGAGCAGCCAACTCCGCCCCCCGCGCAACCGCCCCGCCCGCCCTGCAGCGCGGCGCGCAAAACCTATTCGTCGCCAGTTGCGACGAGTGCTCGGCGCCGGCCGGCGCGCAGGCGCGCGCGCGCAGAGCGGCCAGCTAGTTCGGCGCGTCCGCGGCGGCGCTGACCGCTAGAGACCCCCCCCGGCGCGTCCCGGGGGCCGCGCTGGCGCGTCGGCGCGAGTCCGCGATTCGGGCGGGCGCGGCATCGCGGCGACGTCGACAACGGCCGAGACGACGACGACGGCGGCGACGATGATCACAATAAAGACAACAACGATGGCAAGGCCAATGACGGCGCCGATGTCGGCGACGCCGGCGACGATAATGGCGCCCACGCGTTGGCGATGAAAGAAGCCGCTGCTCGCGCACTCACCCGGGCCCGCCCGCCCGCGATCTGGCGCGCAAAATCTTGCTGGAGACGATTGCGACGAGAGCTCGGCGCTGGCCAGCGCATCGCCGCGATCTTGCTCGCGCGCGCAGGCTCGCTCGCAGAGCGGCCGGCAAGTCCGGCGCGACCGAGCGGCGGCGCTGACCGCCGGGGACTTCCCAGCGGGTCTCACAGGCCTCGCTGGCGCGCGGGCACTTCAGCGCGATTCTACGATTCGGGCGGGCGCGGCACGACGTCGACTTCGAGAACGGCAGACGCGACGATGATTGCAGCGACGCCAGGAGCGACGATGACGGCAGCAACAACACGCAAATCACTTCGCCGATGCTGGCCACGCCTGCGACGATAAGGACGCCCACGCGTCGGCGACGAAG